GCCCATTTAGTCTCATGTATCTACTTGAGCTAAGAAGCACACTCTTCACGAGTATCATTTTATGTCCCGTAGTCCAGTCTAATCTTTGTCTGAAGGGTTGGCCTCAGCAGTGGTTTCAGTTCTGGGTTGACAGAGTGTCCAGGGACCATGTCTTCTGGGGTTCCTCCAGTCTCAGACCATTAAGCCTGATCTTTTTACTAGAATTTGAGTTCTGCACCCCACATTTCTCCTGCTCCATCAGGGACTCTCTATTGTGCTCTCTGTTAGGGCTGTCATTGGTGGTAGCTGGGCACCGTCTAGTTTTTCTGGTCTCAGGCTGATGTAGTCTCTGGTTTATGTAACCCTTTCTGTCTCTTGGGCCAGTACTTTCCTTGTGACTTTGGTGTTCTTCATTCTCCTTTGCTGTTGGATTTGTACAAAACATCTGCTCTGTAATCTGAGAGTTGAAAACCCTAACCAAATGGAGTCCCCACCTCCCTGAGTCTTTACTGTGCCTCTTTACTTCTCCGTAGGTTTGGAGACTTTTAGCCAGCTTATTTGGAGATCTGCTGATGGCACGGTAAGTGTAGGCCCTCAGAAAGGGCTCCTTTTTCGTCTCTGGAGGGGTTGCTCCCAATATTTAGAGTCCTGGAAATATCTTGTTCTGCCTTAGACAGGGTGGCTTGAGATGGTCGCATCAAGTATATAGGAGGAGATACAGGGTGAGAACTGGTTTGGTAGATTCGGCCTATTTGGAGTCATTATAATTTGGTTTTCTTGAGTCGTTGTTTACTAATGGCCTTTGAGGTCACACTACTTTGGAAAAAATAGGAACATGTTAACAGTCAGTGAAAAGCCAGAATTTGTAGGTTGAGTGGTGTGTGTAACAGTTGTATTTGGCTGGCATGGACAGTTGCTATCTGGGCAGGTGTCTTGTGATCACTGACGTGGAGGTGGGGGGTGTTTAGGGAGATGATAACCATGCAGAATAGTCACAGATTGGTTTTTCAGAATGCTCAGTAGAGTTCTCCTCATCCCCCCTCTAACCTAGCAGTAAGCTCCCTTTGTATTCTGATGTGTTTCATGTTTGGTCTGCACAGTTCTTTATCAACAAGACGGACATTGTGGACTTCCCCCGCTTCCCTCACCGGGGCTTGCTGTTGGATACGTCTCGCCATTACCTGCCACTGTCTAGGATCCTGGATACTCTGGTATCTAGGCCTTAAGGCCTTCATCTCTTCTAGGGCTCTGGGATAGTGGGGTAAGGAATAGACCAGTTACCATATTCCTAGGGAGTTAGAGAATGTATGTAACTTTGTGAACTCTTGGAGAATATCGCTGCTGCAAGACTCAGAAGATAACTAGTATGACTTAAATTTATCCCACTGGCTACTGTGAGCCAATACCCAGGCAGTCTCCCGGGATACAGAAGGTAGTTTCGGGAACTGGCTTCTTTGGCCAAACAGAGGTGACTTTAGTAAGGACAAGTTCACAGAAAAGAGACGATCAAAAGCTTTAACTGGAGAAGTTCCTAACTATCTTGAGTTGGATGTTTAGTCTTTTCTGACAATTGCTGATCCAACTCATGTGTCTGCCTTTCTTCCTCCTCTGGTGCAACCAGATGAGTCAGCACAGCCATCAGCCTTGGCTTCTGAGGCGTATGAGTTACTAATTTCTCAGCAGACCTTACAGTTTACATCAACGCTAGTCATACAACCCAACACAAATGATAGGAGGAAGCATTGGTCTTCAGGCTGTTGGGGGCTTTTGGAAGACTCCGCAGCCTTCTCTCAGTGTGGCCACAATACATCTCAAAGAAGAGATACGTCTTCTGCATCCATCTTCGGATATGGCCTGGGAAAAGAAGGACTGTGCTGCCTTCTCTCCATGCCAGGCCCTCCTTCCTAGGAAAGTTTGTTGGAGAGACCTTGTAAACACTTTATTGGAAGCTGAGGGGGCAGAGCTGAGCCCATTGGGATGTGCAGAGCAGCCTGCCAGCCTGCCCAGTGCTTCCCAAGTTTGAGGTTGAAACTGGAGAAGCCACGATGGGTTCATTGTGTGTGTTCTGACCTACAGGATGTCATGGCCTACAATAAATTCAACGTGTTCCACTGGCATCTGGTAGATGACCCTTCCTTTCCGTATGACAGCGTCACTTTTCCCAAGCTAGCCAGAAAGGTATGTTTCAATTTTGCCCAAAGTTTATGGTGTTCATGTCTGAGCCTGGCGTAGCCCTGCTGGCAAGGCCGTTGGCCCTCCTCCTAACCAGTCCAATTTTAGGCAGACATACTGACATTGCAGAATGGCCCTGGATTTACAGTCAACAGAGTTGAGTCTACATATTGTCATTAATTTGCTCTGTGACCTTCAGAGATCATTCTCCTGATCTCATTTTCCTTTTGTTATTTATAGTCTGTTAAATGGGCATACCACCTACCTTGTTTATCTCACTGGCATAATGATGCTCAAATAAAACAAAAGATGTGATAGCTTGTGGGAAGTTTTGATAACATTTCTTGAGGATGGTCTCTGATACCAAAAGGCTATGAGTAAATTTTCTGGTACCTGGGGCGTCCTGGGGACATTTTGAGTGTCCTCTATTTTACTAGCCTTCAGGAAATGAGAGCCTGAAGGGTGTCTTATGCATTTCAGGGCTCCTACAACCCTGCCACCCACATCTACACAGTGCAGGATGTGAAGGAGGTGATTGAATATGCACGGCTCCGGGGTATCCGTGTGGTGCCAGAGTTCGACACTCCGGGCCACACTTTGTCTTGGGGAGCAGGTAAGAATAATGTCTGGGATGGAGAGAGTCTGTTGGTCCTCGTCATAGGGGCTTCAGGGCATCAGCTCCTGGATGTGACATACCCTGGCCTTGATCCTTGGAAGAATGCTTTCCATCAACTTTTTCCACCTGGGAATTTGGACAGGAAGATCTTACTTTGGGTGAAGGAGTCCACTGCTTACTGTTAAAATAAGGGCAAATTCTTCTCAGATCCCCTTGCCTTAATGACACCCTTGCAGGCTGTTGTGCCCTAGAGTGGATGCTGAGGGATCTGACCCCTAGGATGGAATCTAAAAGAAAGAAGCCCAGCATGGCCTCCAGAGGTGGAGTTGGACAGTCACTACTCATGCTCACTCACCTCCTTCATATACCCCCAGCCTGCCCCAGTGAGTCCCCCCTGACTGAGCCCCAAAGCTGGTTAAAGGAACGCTGAGGGACACTGTCAGCCTTGTAGAAAAGTGAAGGTATCTGTGGTCTCCGCCTCAGGAGGGAAAGACTCCTGGCCAGGGGAGGTGCCTCTTAGGGAACGTAGAAAGCTCCGGGTTGATGGGTGACCGAGTACAGGAGGGGATAGAGAAGAAAGATTTTGCCAGTTTGGCTGGATCAGGTCTCTCCCTCTGTTCATTTTCTTAAAGGCAGTATGAGGAGGAGAGCAGCCTTTGGGAGCAAGGGCTGACACTCCTACTGGAAGCCGTGTGTCAGGATAGGAGTGTATGTGGCTGACAGTTGTATGGTTGTAACTCAGTCTCTGATTGACTGGCTCAGCTATGAATGTGATTGTGGATCTGTTTGTTATTTCTTTGATTGTGACTAAATGATGGTGATTATAAGTGTCTGTGAGTGCCCAGGTATGTCTAACTAGGTATGGGTAATGTTTAAGAACACGATTGTGTGATTTATGTCCTTAGGGGTCTGGGCATTTGTGACGCTTATGTGGGGCTCTCTGTTGGCTTAGGTGTCCCTGGATTGTTGACTCCTTGCTACTCTGGCTCTGAACCCTCTGGGACCTTTGGACCAGTGAATCCCATTCTCAACAGTACCTATGAGTTCATGAGCACATTCTTTTTGGAGATCAGCTCTGTCTTCCCAGATTTTTATCTTCACCTTGGAGGAGATGAGGTTGATTTCTCCTGCTGGTATGAGTCCCTTGATCTTCCCATCCTGGCCTGACTTGCTAACTCAGAATAGAGGTTCGCCCCTGAGGGGCACCCTATCTCAGTTGCTTCTCTGGGGCTAACCTCTGAAACAGCAGTCTGTCTCAGTCCAGGCTGCTCACATCTGGGGCCTTTCCTCTGCCCACCTTCAGAGAGGCCCTACCTGACTGTGGCAAGGCTGTGACTGTGACCCTCTCCCTTCCTCTGTTCTTGCAGCCTTGGGATATTTATGGAAAAACTTAGCTCTGGGTACAGAATTGCCTTGGCAAAATCCAGGCTAGGGAAAAATAATTCCTGTTTACGGCGGCTTAAAATAGTCTGGCTGAAGAGTCAAGACACAGATGAATTTGAGGCTAATACTGTCTAATAAGGTCCAAACTCTCAGATCTAGTGACCTTAACAAAGGGTTGAGGGCTTCTTAGGGAAGTAAGTGGTCACTAGAGCTGAGTCTGGGGAAATAGGCTTTTTATAAAGAGACATGGAGGAGGGGAAAAGCATCCCAGGAGGAGAACAACGTGAGCAAAATGTAGACGTGGGGCAAGGGAGCTGTCGTTGGTGACAGACACCAAGGCTTGTCTTCTAGCTGGAATAAAGAATAAATAGTAATGGAACAGCAGAGTATATGCCAGGTTGGGGTGTGGGTCAGGCAGCCAGAATGCAGTGTGCTGGAGCCCCAAAGTAAGACCTTGGGTGCACTTGTGGTACTCTGGCTAGCAGATGAGTATGCGTTCCCTTTGAGTTTGAACTGAGAACTCTTCAGGTCCAGACTCATCCTTTCTCAGCCTATGTCAGTGGCCCCCTTCATATAGCTTTGTTCAATCACGTGTTCCACATTTGGGATTCTGTGCTCCTCGGTTGCTTCTTTTTTCGCATGGAAAGGGGAAGTTGTGGGAGGCCAGGTGACTAATCCCCAAGCTTTGTGCTTTTAAGATGTTGAAAGAATTAATCTCCATTTTCTCTTGGGGTTCAGGAAGTCCAATCCAGATGTCCAGGCCTTTATGAAGAAGAAAGGCTTTGGTGATGACTTCAAGCAGCTGGAGTCCTTCTACATCCAGATGTGAGGAAGGAAGGAGGGTTGGCCAGAGTTCTTTTGGGGCTATCTACTGGGGGGTCCTCGCTTTCCATCCCAGGGCCAGGCCCTGTTTGACTGCTCTCTGGACCCTGAAAGGTTCCTTTGTCCTAACCTTTCAGGTTTGGAGTTCCCAACCCTGGGGAAGACACTGTTCAGTCAGGAGTAAGCCCCAAGCCAGGCTCAGCCCCTAGAGAGCTGGTACAATCAGCCCAGGGCCTGTCTGAGCTGAGCAGACACTTTCTTTACACTCCCTCCTCTCCAGGCTGCTGAACATTGTCTCTGCCTATGGCAAGGGCTACATGGTGTGGCAGGAGGTATTTGATAATAAAGTCAAGGTAAGCCAGGGGCAGAGGAGTGGAACCACCAGCAGTGCCTCCCTGGTCTCCCCACCCCTTCCCTGCCCCTGCAGGAACTAGTCCTCCTGGTTTGGATTAGGTTTTAGTGGTCAGAGCACTGGGGGCCATCTCTGCCTCCCCTTATAGAAAGGTCACAGAGGTCTGAGCCCTGGGTTTGTGTGTCAGAGCCTCTGTCTGTCTTCCCTTGCTGCAAACTGCTCAAGAGTGATTTCTGCTGCTGGCTTACTTGGAAGTCCTCAGACTGGCGTGATGGGCTGAGTTGGCTCCTGCACTCATGGACTAGGGTCTTCCAGGTTTGCAGGAATAGGACTTCCTTCTCCTTCATTGTCGATCAATAAGATCTCAGCCTTCTGCTACCTGCAGGACCTCTGCAGAAACCTTCTCCTATCCCCAGAAACACCTAGAGATGCTTGAACATGCTAGCTCCTGATGAATTCCCTGGGCCCCACTGCTTGCCTCCCTCAGCTCACAGCCAGTGTTACTATCTCAGTGTGGACAAGGAGGCTGTAGAGGGGCTGTGAAGAGGGGCAGGGCGGCAGGGCCTCTGCTCTAGGGTGGGAGCTCAGTGCTTGGGAGACAGAGACATACTCTGCTGTTGGGGAGCAGAAGGAGCACACACTGTTAGCCTGGGTTGCCTACATAAGAATGAGGCCCAGGCATCTCCTCAGCCACATGTGTCATTACCCCCATTTGATCTCTTGTGACAGGTTCAGCCAGACACGATCATACAAGTATGGCGAGAAGAAGCACCAGTAACCTATTTGAAGGAGCTGGAACTGATCACCCAGGCCGGCTTCCGGGCCCTGCTGTCTGCCCCCTGGTACCTGAATCGCATAACTTATGGCCCTGACTGGAAGGAGGTCTACATGGTGGAGCCTCTGGCATTTGACGGTGAAAGCATGGAGCTCATCTTGCTGACCCGAGGAGGCTGGGCTGGGGCACAGGGCGGGAGGCAGGGGCAGACATGTCAGTTTAGGAGATGAAACAGCTTACCGGAGGAGAAGGCCACCCTGGGAAGGTGGTTGAGGAGGATCCCAGTGTTCACCCCTCTGCCTCCCAGCCCCCCACCCCCACCCCCCACCAGCAGCCTGTTGTTGCTTGTTTTCCATCAGGTAGCCCTGAGCAGAAGGCTCTGGTGATTGGTGGAGAGGCCTGCATGTGGGGCGAGTATGTGGACAGCACAAACCTGGTACCCAGGCTCTGGTAAGGGTTTTCCGAGGGAGGTGGAAGGTTGGGCTGGTGGGCAGGGTTTCTCCCTTATAGACTCAATCCTGCCCAGCCACCCCCAGACTCATACCCTCCTTTCAGGCCTGAGAGAGAAGGGGCATTGCAGTGATCCTTCTGTTTGTATGTAATATTCCCTTCCCACCTGGATTACACATAAATACTCCTCCAGCAGCCCAGTAGGTGTGTAAGGTAGAGGTGATAAGGCCTGGAGAACAGAAGTGACGGCCCAGGATCCAACAATCCAACAGTGAGAGGCCGTGGTTCCTCTGATAAGACTTCCCTGTGCTGTTTGCTCAGCAGCCACAGAGGCTGCAGCCTCACCAAGCCTGGTGGGTATGTAGTGTTCATTTGTGAGAACGCCTGCTGCCGCTATTAGTAACAGTTTATGGTGCCTTTAAGATTTTCCCTGTCTTTGGGAGAGGGGAAGGGTGGGATTGCTCTCCACATTTTAAGGAAGGTGGAGCTAGGCCTAGAACCCGGAGCCCTACAGCCAGGCTATAGCCCTGAGCCAGGTGCTGATCACATCCCTTGGCCTTGAGCTGGTCCAGGGGGCCTAAGCATGGGGCAATAGTCTATGGCTGCAAGGAATACAGGTGCAATCTGGTGCGTGCCCCCTTCCTCCAGGCCCAGAGCAGGGGCTGTTGCCGAGAGGCTGTGGAGTAACAGCCGTGTGACCGACTTGGAATTTGCCTTCACACGTTTGACAAACTTCCGTTGTGAACTGCTGAGGTAAGCAGGCTGTGGGCCCTCCCAGGGTGGGTAGGGCAGGCCGGGGTCTTGGGACCACTCACTTAGAGGAAGAAAATAATAACAATGGCCAGCATTTGTAATGTGGCAAGCACTGTGGTAAGCCTTTACCTGCGTTATCTCATTTAATCTTCATCACAACCCCTTAAGGTAGGTAACTCTTTTACCTGCATTTTAGACATAGGCAGCCAAGGCACAGAGAAGTTCAGTAACTTGCCCAAGAGTCACTCAAAGCCGGGATTTGAACCAGGCTGACTTCAGAGTCTGTGCTCTTAGCCATGGGCCGTGCTCTTATGGGCTTTCATGATACCTGCACCCCTGTTGGGGAGAGGCCTGCATAAGAAGGGCATTTCCCTGATTTCATCATTGACTGTGCCTTGAGAACCTGGGGGACACAGCCTAGTGTAGAGCAGAGTCCCAGGCAGAGAGTCAAGCATTGTAGGGTCTAGACCTCAACTGTCTGTAATTCACTGGGTGACCGAGCTAGTTCCTTACTGTCACTAAGCATGTTGCTTATTTGCATAATAAGGAGGGCATGCCTACAGGTCTCCTAATGAGACTGGTCAGGGCTTTGAACTTGGGAGGCTGAAACCCAAGGACAGGATTTCATGCCCAGGCCTAGTGCACGGACTGGACAGTGCCTCAGTTCCCCCACCACTGCATTTATAGTGTTTCAGAGCCAGGAACGGGGCTCAGTAGGCCAGGAGCACTGGGCACCCGTCAGGCATCCACCTCTTTTCTAAAGAGGCTGAGTTACTTAGGGCTGGGGTACAGAGACAGGCAGGATAGAAATAGAGAGGTGGCCTCCAAGGTTCCTGGGTCGACCTATATCAGAATCACCAGGGGTACCTGTTCAAAACACAGATTCTTGCCAACACTTCGTCCTAATCTCTGGAAGTGAGGTTACCAAGTAATTTTATTGTATATTGGAAGTTTGAGATCCACTGAAATGGGAGAGGGGAGACTACTGTTGTGGAGAAAAGTTTCTATGGCTGCAGACTGACCCCTTTCTGAGTGGCTTATCCTACTGTTTCTTTGTGTCTTATTGCAGGCGAGGTGTCCAGGCCCAGCCCCTCAGCGTAGGCTATTGTGAACAGGAGTTTGAAGAGACTTGAGCAAGCAGCCCCAGGTACTGAGGAGGGTGCTGGCCCTAGGAGAGTGGCAGTGGGGCCAGGCTGGCCAGGCTTCCACGCATCCCGGCCGGGGGATGGAGCCCCTTGCCCAGTGTGCCCGGTGCCTGGAGAGAAAGCGGCTGGTACTGGTGCTGGTGTCCAATAAAGAGTAATGTGGCACTTTTCTATAATGAACATGGATTATCTGTGTTAAAAAAAGTGTGAGTGGCCCTGGGATGAGGGAGGCGCCAGAACTGGTCTTCTGTTTTTGAAAGGGCTGAGCAGGGCCCAGCCAGGATTGGCACAGAGTCTGCCCCTGGAGGAATCCTGTAAATTGAGGAGTGGGAATGAGACCCATAGTCTCTGTGCTGTCCTGCCTGAGTTACCTGACTTGTCTCCCTCCCCCACTCATAGCCCAGACGCACACCTCAGCCATGTCACTTCAGCATTAGAACTCCAAGGCTTCTGTATATGGAAGAAGACATTATAGGGTCCTGAAGGAGTTCCTGGCAGTGGCAAAGGCTCCAGACCCACTCTGGTCACAGAACAAGCCCCTCCTCTGTTGTATACACACACTACTTCCCTCCTCTAGTGCTTTTCTCCTTTGGGTTCCTCGTTACTTCAATTTTATGCAGCCATTATTTAGATACTAGGCACTGTGGTAGGTGTTAAGTTTGAAGAACTTGGTCTTCAGAGGCCCTGATCCATTCCCAATAATGCAGGCAACTTCACCATCACCATCACACTCCTGCCTCTTTTCAGCCCATAGCATCTCATGGAATTGGTGGCACAGCTGAGCCCATGAAAGCAAAGCCCTTGGTGGGGGATAACGGAGTGGGCATGAGGCTCTGGAAGAGAGGCTTTGCGCCTGTGACCAATATTTCCCCCAAAAGGAAAGATATCATTGTGGACCCAGAGTGCCCCCTGGTGGACTCCAGGGCAGACCATTTGAGATGAGGACTTCCTTGGCTGTTGTTTGCAAAGTTATCTTGCCTGATCCTGGGCTGGCACATCAGTAGAGTGGTCCCAGGCATTTCTTTCAGAAGACTTGCAGTCTGGTAGATAGAGAAACTTGGGGAATGCGGGGCTGAGAAAGGAACCAAGTAGAATTTAGACCTTAAACTCCATCTTTCAGTCCCCCAGTCATCTTCCTCTGAGGACCTGGTTAGAGGTAGACCCAGCCCTGCTTTCTTGCACTGTTTCTGTAGGGACAGGGTGGGCACTTTCTACCTGCGAAAATTCTCTTTGGGACGGGGTTTTCAAACAGCCCAGCTTAGTCAAGGTCAGGCCTCTGGCCTCGAGAGATACTGGAACTAGGGCTTCACTATCTACACCTACCGCAGGAGCCTCCTTGCTTCTGTCACCCATAAGCCTGTGGGGTGGTCCCAGGCAAGGACCCTGCAAAAATGTACATATACTTCAAACACCCCTGCTTCCCTCCTGATCACGACTGTGATGTTGCTGTTGTTTGGGATAATAAATGAAAAGAGCAGACACTAAGTTGGAAGTCTAAATTGGTGAAGGAAGAGACCGTGAAAACACTTGTGTTAAAACAGTAAGGTTCTATGATTTCTTACTTCTTTTGCAGACATTTTCTTTAATGTTACTATTTTACAATTAAAAATTACAACAGAAAAAGCACAAGCAGCAAAACACAAAACAGATAAATGGGACCTCGTAAAAGTTAAATACTTGTGTTCATCAAAGAATTTTATCAACAAAGTGAAGAGACAACCTACTGATTAGGAGAAAGTTTTCAGGGACCATATATCCAGTAAGGGTCTAATATTCAAATATATAT